TCTTTGTTTTGGCTCAGAATTGCTTTGGCTGTTCAACTTCTTTCATTTGCATATGGTCTTTACTACTTTTCTAGTTCTGTTTTAATAGGGATTGCATTAAACTCATATATTATTTTACATTATATGTGAATTAAATATTAATTCTTTTAATATGTGAATCTGGGAGGTATTTCCATCTTCTATTGTATTTTCCATTTCATTTTCCTGTGTTCTATAACTTTAACTGCAGAGGTTCTTCTGATCTTTTGATCAGATTGATTCTTAAGTACTTTTTTTAGAGGTACTATGAATGGAATTGCTATCCTGCTCTCATTCTATTATGTTAATTATTGGTGTATAGAATAACTTGATTTTCTGTATGTTGATTTTTTTTCTTTGTATTTTAGTAAGGGTCTACAGGATCTACAGGTTCTCACTGCACAGATCGGACTCATAGTGATCCACCTGTGTTTAGCATCCCAAGAACTGGGATTATAGGTGCCCGCCACCACGACTACTCTCAATCACTGTCTCAATGTGCTCTGGGAGTGGGGGGGGAGGTACACTGTGGATAGAACCTCAGCCTCTGCATCTGCCTAAGCAGGGGCTTTAATCAGCTAAACTATTTGGTCAGCCCTTGTATGTTGATTTTGTGTTCTGTGTTTTACTGAATTTGTTTAGCAAAGCTTCCTTTGGTGTTTTCATGGCTTTCAAAGTAACGAAGCATATCATTTGCAAATAGAGTTGGATTTCTTCCTGTATTATTTATATCCCTTTTAGTTTTGTCAAGACACATCTACTCGTACAAACTATTTGTTTGTCTGGAAACTTTTCTTTCCTGTTTACGCTGAAGGATAATTTTGCATGTAATAGAAATGCAGGTCGATGTGTTTTTTTAAAAAGTATTTTACATTTCACACTAGCCCCTATTTGTTATAATCTCTCTGTGTGCATTTTCTATTTTTTATATGCTGTCTAAATTTGTTAAATTATTTTGCATATTATTTATCTTTAAATTTCTTGTCTGATATTCAAAATATCTACTATACCTGGGTGTTACTGTGTTGTTTTCTCTCTTCAAACTATGTTGTATGTTTTAGTATTCCTTCAAAGTTTATGTTGAACATAAGTTATAACATATTGCTATATGTAACTAAAGTAAATAGTTCTTTACTGTGAAGTTTCATGCTTTTCTCACAAGGATTGAGGTTGTATTTATGGTTTGTGCGTTACTACAGGTAGTAGAGGCTAAAGCTTCCTTCCATGTCCTTGTTTTGACCCCTGTGTTATTCTTAAACAAAGACTGAGATGTACAATTCTTTCAGTTATTATCCTTAGTTGTACAAAAACCTACCTATTGATGTTTTAGTAAGGTTTGGGATGAAACAAAATGTTCTATAATAGTAATAGTGGGTGTTTTAGTGAGCATCTGACACTTGGCTACTTCAGAAGTGCTACTCAATTTTTTTTAACATCTTAGCTGACACACAAAACACCTACAATTTATTATTTTATTTGTCTCAGAAAACTAAAGGGGTCTTGAGTTGGGTATTTCCCTTCCTCTATCATTTAACCTCTAACAAAACCAATATCATGCTCAGGTAGGCTCTGTAAAATGCATTCTATTTAGACAGATACTGGTATGAACAACAGGTTTCAGTGAGCATCCATCAAAGTAGCTTTCATTTTCCATCTGATAGAAGTATAAGAGCAGGCCATCGGACTAAAGGGCCTGCTTAGGCAGGTGCAGGGACCAGGATTCGATCCCTGGCATGCAGTTCTAGCCCTGCTCCCAGAGAGCGCTGAGTCAGCAACGGAGGTTGAGCATGGTGGTGCGCTCCTATAATCCCAGCACTTGGGAGGCTGAAGACAGGAAGATCACTATGAGTCTGATCTGTGTTGTGAGACCCTGTAGACCCTGTACTAAATACATAAAAAGTATAAGAACATTTTATTAAATATTCAGTGTGTATCACTAGACTCTTAGTCTACCTGGAGATAAAATTCATAAAAATTAGCAGTCCCCTACAATAATGGTCACCACTGGAATTTTTGTAGCACAGTATGAGAAAAGGCAATTTGCCAAACACCATTTGAGTTTTACAATCTTGATACTGTCCATAGGAGTAGCTTTACCTTTGGGAGTATGCTCCAGGAACCTGTGATTCTGGATATACACCAGTCTGTTTAACCACCCTTTGGAATCAGCAGTTTGCTCTGTGAGCTCAGTTCTTTTATTGATCTAAGGAAAATTATTGATTTGAAATTTATTCAGCATTTTCCTGTTTTGTTCTTTTTGGGGGGGCAGTACCGGGTGTTGAACTCTGGATGTTGCCCTTTCCAGGCAAGTTCTTATTGTACTGAGCTATCTCCCCGGTCCTTATTTTGATCTTCTTTCTTTCTTTCTTTCTTTCTTTCTTTCTTTCTTTCTTTCTTTCTTTCTTTCTTTCTTTCTTTCTTTCTTTTTCAGAACCGGGTACTGAATTTAGGCCCCTGCACTTACCAGGCAAGTGCTTATTCAACTGAGCCGTTTCCCCAGCCCCTCAGCTTTAATTTTGAATGTAAGAATGAAGAACTGTTTACATGATGAACATGAAACAAAATGACAAAAAAAGCACTTCCATGTTCATGGAGTTTGTTGGATTAATTCATTTTCTTTTGCTTTAAGATGAGAAACAGGAACATGAGGAAAAACCTTCTGTCTTGTGTGTAGATATCCTCAATTTGTAAGCACAACTTACAATTTTGTGTCATAATTCTCTCTCCATACACCACTCAAACTATGGACACCTGCATTGTTAAGGCAAATGAAAAGATAAAAGGAATTATCAAAAGCAAAATGGTGTATTATATGATATATATTATTTTTATTTATGTATTTATTTTTACTAGTGCATTGTTGAGTACTTCATGTTTAAATTCCTTGTGTGAAGTTGCTACATGTGCATAATACTCCCTATTTCATTTTTTCGCCCCTTTTCCTTGGCTTCCATTCCGGTTCACTACCATTTGATCTCATATCCATTTGAGAAAGATCTATTTAACTATCTCCTATTTTTTAGTTTATTCTTTATTTGTAGCTTAAATTTCAGGGGAGTATCATCTTTCTCTTGGCATATAATCTAATTAGACAAGTAACATTCCTCTAAGTTCATCATTATGTGTTTCTGAGCATCAAATCGTAGGCCTTATTGATACTTAAGGTAGTAGTACACAAATCATATCCACCAGATGGCAAAAATCTTTGGGGAAGTATAGAACTTTTTTATTTGCCATGTTCTTCCCACTAGGTCCCATTAATTCATGTTCCTACTGAAGCAAAATAGAAGAAATAAAGACGAGGAAAAGGAGAAAACGAAGTGATAACTAAAAATTTGCACTTTAAAGAACACTGCACTTCCAGGAACTAGCCAAAGTTATGCAAGGTGATGTATGGCAACATTGTGTTGCTTATATTTAACCTCTTTCGCTACCAGACACAAAGAAATCAAAATTTCTTATGAATAATAAAAATACATACCTTGGCTTAATTAAGAATAAAAGGAACAGGAGCCTGATCTCAAGATACAGGAGCAGGTTCAGCAAACTCAAATAATCTTGCAGTTACCTATTTAAAAAAATGACCACATCTATAGAATGGGCCAACATCCTTCTTGGGAATGGGGTACCTTGTCCCAAAATTTTCTTCCCCTTCAAGAGAGGCACAGATATATCTAGTTCCTAGAGGCAATGCATCTCAATTTTCTCTACACTCTCACATTTCATTATTACATGCATCCTAAATCTGTCTATTAAGCCTTTCTCTCACTTTGCTCTGGTGCACACTGACATTTTTTTTCCATGATGAGAATCAGTGAACCTGGAAATTTTTCTACAAAATAATGGGATATGTTCCTTATTCACCCTAGGGAACACTCAAACCCAACCACTGACTCCTACCTTAGCCAAAATTCATTTGCTTCCTTCCAAAGGTTCCCCCAATGGCTGATTACATTTACCACTTCAGTTCAAATTTCAGAATTCATAATCTAAGTCAGGTCTACCTGATGTGGACTAGCCTGTGTGATAACTTCTCAGTGTATCAAGTGGACAAGCTCTTATTTTGTGTGTGGACCACTGAACATTTCAGTGTTCACACAACATAATAGCTAAAGTTATGTTTGAATAAACACAGGTATGAATGGAGGTAAAAGTAATAAGCAGACTCTAGTAGTTCTGAAATGTCAACGAGCAAATATAGTGAATGTATTGTTCAGGGTTTTACATAGAGTAACAGATAAAATATAAGGAACAGATATTAACACAAGGTATACAATGTATAATGAATTACAAAGTTGGCTTAGGACAGTCAGCTGCAGAGTCAGATGGGGGAGTGTGCAGAGGGCGTCTGCACACCCTAGACTGAGGAGTTCAGTCCCAAGCTCTGAAGCTCACTGCTGTGTTCCGTGCAAGTCTCTATTCGTCAGCTGATGGGTCTGCGAGGGAAGACTGAAGAGTCTGTGATGGATGCTGAAGAGTCTGTGATGGAAAGTGAAGGATCCAATCCGGAGGCGAAAGAGTCTGCGCTGCAAGCCAGGTGATGAAGTCCAAGCCGAATGCGAAGACTGAAGCTCCTCCGATGAAGTGGAAGATCAGCTACTTCCTCAGCCCCTTTATATGGTCTCTTTGTGCTGAGTCACTCTGGGAGCAGAACCAATTGTGCCCCAGGGCAGGACCCCCACCAGCCAGAAGTGCACCACGGAGTGCCAATTTGACACAATGTATCAACCACTACAATCCACCCCTTGTCAACTTGGCATATTTTAAACCAGTCTCCAAATACAGAGGTATGCATATAATTATGCCTAACATTGTTATAACTATCCTCCGAACAAACAGAAATGCGCTAATACCCTTACCCAAATAGAAGGTAAGGTTTTTATGCTTTAATATTAACACAAGTTTGATAATCTTAAAATCTTATAGGAAATCTATCCCTATTACATTATAACAGAACCATATATGGGGGTGAAGTAGTACAGTTATAATCCCCTTTTCTGTAACTGATTACGGGGTTGTAGCTGGTATTTAGAGGTACCTTCTTCTACTACCTGTTCTGTATTCCCTTGGCCCTCAGCAAGTACCTCAGCAGGTCTGGGTTCTTTCTCTGGTGGAGTGACACATACCTTCATTCCTGAAGGCTCTGGACCATTTATCAGCATGCCTGTATTAGAGTGTTGCAATTTTCCATTGACTTTAATAACAGGGCATGGCAATACTAAGAGACGCCCCAAGGCATCTCCTGCACTCCATGTATATTCTTCCTTTCCTGCATTGTGGAGCAATAATACAATTTCCCCTTGATAGTCTGGGTCAATCACCCCTGACAGCACACTGTGACTCCCTTTTTAGCTTGTTTCCTCAGAGGTATGAGGAGACCAAAGTGACCAGGGGGAAATCTTAGCTTCCAGTCCAACGGTATCATTGCTATACTTCCTGGTACAATCCTTCCCCCTTCTGGGACTAAGACTTCTGGTCCAACAGAAGATAAGGTTGTGGGATCAGGAAGCAAGAATTTTGCTAGTGGATCACTAGGAGTAATGGTGAGTGGTACCATTCCTACTCCCACCCCTTGATTCCTGGACCCATGAATCCTGGCTATGAGAGACATAGTACCATACAAAGGGCATGATTCAAAGCATATACAGCCTTCTGAAGTACCTTACCCCAGCCCTGCAAGCTATTGCCACCTAGTTGGCACTGTAACTGTGTCTTCAAAAGACCATTCCACCTTTCTATTAATCCAGCTGCTTCTGGATGGTAAGGAACATGATAAGACCAGTGAATTCCATGAGCATGAGCCCATTGCTTCACTTCTTTGGCTGTAAAATGTGTTCCTTGGTCAGAAGCAATGCTGTGTGGAATTCTTTGGTGGTGGATAAGGCATTCTGTAAGTCCACGGATGGTAGTTTTGACAGAAGTGTTATATGCAGCAAAGGCAAATCCATATCCAGAATATGTGTCAATGCCAGTGAGGACAAAGTGCAGTCCCTTCCATGATGGAAGTAGTCCAATATAATCAACCTGCCACCAGGTCGCAGGCTGATCACACAGGGGAATGGTGCCATATCGAAGACTCAGTGTTGGTCTCTGTTGCTGGCATACTGGGCATTCAGCAGTGGTGTGGCCAGATCAGCCTTAGTGAGTGGGAGTCCATGTTGCTGAGCCCATGCATAGCCTCCATCCCTGCCTCCATGACCACTCTGTTCATAGGCCCACTGAGCAATGACAGGATGGCTGAAGAAGGAGGTTGGCTACTATCCACAGCCAGAGTCATTTTATCCACTTGATTATTAAAGTTCTCTTCTGCTGATGTTGCCTTTTGGTGAGCATTCACATGGGAGATAAATATTTTTATATCCTTTGCCCATATGGAGAGGTCTATCCACATACCTCTTCCCCAAATATCTTTGTCACCAATTTTCCAGTCATACTCCTTCCAAGTTCCCGACCATCCGGCCAAACCATTGGCCACAGCCCATGAGTCAGTATATAGTCGCACATCTGGCCATTTCTTTCTCCAGGCAAAATGCACTACCAAGTGCACTGCCCAAAGTTCTGCCCACTGTGATGATTTCCCTTCACCACTGTCCTTTAGTGACATCCCAGAAAGGGGCTGTAATGCTCAGCTGTCCACTTGCGGGTGGTGCCTGCATAGCATGCAGAGCCATCTGTAAACCAAGCTCTTGTCTTCTCGTCCTCCAACAACTGATTATATGGCACACGCCACAATGCCATAGGTGAATGCTGGGGAACAGAAGGCAATATAGCCGGTGTAGAAGCCATAGGTATCTGGGCAACTTCCTCATGTAATTTACTTGTCCCATCTGGACCTGCCCTGGCTCTGTCATGAATATACCACTTCCATTTAATGATAGACTATTGCTGTGCATGTCCAACCTTATGACTTGATGGATCAGATAATACCCAGGCCATGATAGGCAACTCAGGTCTCATGGTGACCTGGTGTCCCATAGTCAAGCGTTCTGTTTCCACCAAAGCCCAGTAACATGCCAAGAGCTTTTTCTCAAAAGGAGAATAGTTGTCTGCAGATGATGGCAGAGCTTTGCTCCAAAATCCTAAAGGCCTTCTCTGCAATTCTCCTATGGGGGCCTGCCAGAGACTCCAGACAGCATCCCTGTCTACCACTGACACTTCAAGTACCATCGGATCTACTGGATCATATGGTCCCAGGGCCAGAGCAGCCTGAACAGCAGCCTGGACCTGTCACAGGGCTTTTTCCTGTTCTAGGCCCCATTTAAAATTAGCATCTTTCCGAGTCACTTGGTAAATGGGTCGGAGTAAGACACCTAGGTGAGGAATATGTTGTCTCCAAAATCCAAATAGGCCTACTAGGCTCTGTGCCTCCTTTTTGGTCATAGGGGGAGCCACATGCAATAACTTATCTTTTACCTTAGAAGGAATATCTCTACATGCTCCACACACTGGACTCCTAGAAACTTCACTGAGGTAGAAGGACCTTGAATTTTTGTGGGACTTATTTTCCATCCTCTGGTTGTCAAATGATGTACTATCAAATCCAATGTGGTTGCCACCTCCTGCTCACTAGGCCCAATCAGCATGACATCATCAATGTAATGGACCAGGGTGATATTCTGAGAAAGAGAAAAGCGATCAAGATCCCTAAGAACTAAGTTGTGACACAAGGCAGAAGAGTTAATATACCCTTGTGGCAAGACAGTGAAGGTATATTTCTGGCCTTGCCAACTGAAAGCAAATTGTTTTTGATGGTCCTTATGTATGGGTATGGAGAAGAAGGCATTTGCCAAATCAACAGCTGCATACCAACTACCAGAAGTGTTAATCTGCTCAATCAAGGAAACCACATCCGGTACTACAGCTGCAATGGGGGTCACCACTTGATTCACTTTACGGTAACCTACTGTCATTCTCTAAGACCCATCTGTCTTCTGCACAGGCCAAATGGGAGAATTAAATGGAGATGTGGTGGGGACCACCACCCCTACATCCTTCAAGTCCTTGATAGTGGCACTAATCTCTGCAATCCCTCCAGGAATGTGGTACTGCTTTTGGTTCACTATTTTACCAGGCAAGGGCAACTCTAAGGGCTTCCATTTGGCCTTTCCAACCATAATCACCCTCACATGGCAGGTTAGGGCAGAGGATTCTGCCAGGTACTAAGTATATCTTTGTCAATTATACATTCTGGAACAGGGGATATAACTATAGGATGGATCCGAGGACCTATTGGACATACTGTGAGTCGGACCTTTGCTAAAACTCCATTGATCACCTGCCCTCCATAGGCCCCTACTCTCATTAGAGGGCCACTATGTTGTTTTGGTTCCCCTGGAATCAGTGTCAGTTCAGAAGCAGTGTCCAGTAGTCCCCAAAATGTCTGATCATTCCCCTTTCCCCAGTGTGCAGTCACTCGGGCAAAAGGCCTTAGGTCCCTCTGGGGAAGGATAGGAGGAAGACTGTACAAATCCTGGGGGTATTAGGATCCTTCCCCAAGGAGACCTGGCCTCCCCATCATTCAAGGGGTTCTGGGTCTGTAAGCTGGCTCAAATCTGGGAACTGGTTTAGAGGCCGTGATTGCCTATTACCATGTCTCAAAGTATGTCTCTGTTCTTTTGCCCTGTTACTCTTCTGATTATATAAATCTAACAAAAAATTTGTAGGCTTCCTATCTATGTCGCTTTTGGGAACACCATGACTAATCAGCCAACACCATAGGTCTATGCATGTCAGATTATTCTGGCCACTGTTTTGCTTCTGCCTTCCATGGTGATTAAGGGCTGCCACTTGACCTCTGCCATTCTGGGATCCAATTAAGCCCATGGCCCTTAAATTCCTCAACTGAGCAACTGCGGTCCCCACTGTAAGGTCTAGCATGCAAAGAAGAGCAATGACAGGGCTCTTTGGGGATGCTGGTGCTCCCCTCACAAATCTATTTCTCAAAGTGTTAGTAAATGGTATGCTTTCAGGATCATCCCGATATGAAGGGTGAGGCTTAACATGACAGATCCACTCCAGCATCCCCATTTCCCTAAGCCTCTTAATCCCTTCATCAGTAGTAAACGATGGACAATCAGGCATTTCTAGCTCATTCAGAGTGGGCCATCTTCTGAGCCATGCTTCTGTCAACCAACCAAATAGACTGTTGACACCTTTTTGTACTCCACGAGTTGCAACATTGAATTCAGAATCCCTACTTAATGGGCCCATATCAACAAACTCAGCCTGATCCAAGTGAATGTTTTTGCCACCATTATCCCACACTCGTAAAATCCATTCCCATGCCTCCTCATTAGGCCTCTGTTTATAAGAGTTGGAAAACTCAAGAAGGTCTTTGGGAGAATAACGGATCTCTTCATGGATCACATTATGTATCTCTCCCTTAGGCAACTTCTGTGACTGAAGCCGGGTTATGGGCCTAGAGGCAAAAATGGGTGCTGAGGGTGGGTCCTGAGAAGTCACAGCATTATCCTCTTCATTCCACACAGGATTGGCATCTCCAGATATATTAGGAGACACTAGTACTGCAGAAGATGAAGGCAATGATTCCTCTGCCACGATGGGCAGGGAATTCTCTTGCTCAGGCAAAATAATCTCATAAGCATCTAAAAACTCAGCCTCTTCAGCCTCCTCAGGATCCTCCCACACATCTCCATTCCAATTTATTGGATCCCATTCTTTCCCAATCAGTGCCCTCACCTTTGCTTCAGATACCCTCTGAGGCTGAGCGTGTAATTTACGTTGTAGTTCAGCCCATCGAATTATAAGGGACTGCATTTGGGTTTCTGCAATCTCAGCCCTGTGGCTAAAAGAAAGGAGATTTTCTGTCAGGACACAGTTAAAAACTTTTAAATTTTTTATCTGAGTTTGAAGGCAGGAAATTGAATCTGTGAGCTCCTTATTTTCATGCATAAGTTTGTCCATTGAGGCTAAGACCAACCAACCAGCATCATTATATTCCCTACTCCACCAAAGATGTTCAGAATTTTTATGTATGGAATCAGTAAATTCCTGACATCTCACAAGTGGTGGATTAGGATAATCAAATGGATCAATACGGCATATTACTTTAAACAACTCACGCCAAGGAGTATCAGTATGTTCCTTAAGATCAGGAGAGACCATGGTGTCTTTAGATCTCATCAAATCTAGGAGCCAACTCCAGGCACTCTTAAAGCCATTTAAAAATGCCATCATTATATTGTTTCTCTAGAGCCACTCCTGGTACCATATACTGTATTGGTCAGGGTTTTACATAGAGGAACAGATAAAATATAAGGAACAGATACTAACACAAGATATACAATGTATAAGGAATTGCAAGTTTAGCTTACAACAGTCAGCTGCAGAATCAGATGGGGGAGTGTGCAGAGGGCGTCTGCACACCCTAGACTGAGGAGTTCAGTCCCAAGCTCTGAAGGTCACTTCTGTGCTCCGTGCAAGTCTCTATTCATCAGCTGATGGGTCTGCGAGGGAAGACTGAAGAGTCTGTGATGGATGCTGAAGAGTCTGCGATGGAAAGTGAAGGATCCAATCCGGAGGCAAAAGAGTGTGCACTGCAAGCCAGGTGATGAAGTCCAAGCCGAATGCGAATACTGAAGCTCCTCCAATGAAATGGAAGATCAAGTACTTCCTCAGCCCCTTTATATGGTCTCTTTGTGCTGAGTCACTCTGGGAGTAGAACCAATTGTGCCCCAAGGTGGGACCTTCACCGCGGAGTCATCCAGCCAAGTTGACACAATGTATCAACCACTACAGTGAATTACTTCATTAAATTTCAAACCTAAAATTAAATACTTTGAGTACAGGTTCCATTATGTCAGTTCTATTCCATATACTTTGCTACAGTCTTCTTTAATAGAGAATACCCTATGATTGTAGTTGAGTCCTAAAAGTGAGTACTTAGCACATGCCCTAGGTCCCAAACCTGGAACTCCTTCTTTGCCTGCCCCAAGAGAAAGTTTTGCTCTAGTATAACAGGCATTCAAGAGGTCTTGTGCAGGCCATGATTTAGCCCTTGATCCCTGAAAACTACACCACATGAGGTTGTGCTGCTAGTTCTCCTGTCCTCTGGCACAACCTTAGCAGCCAAGGCCTGAAATTAAACATCACTACCTTGAAAGGACACAGTTTACCAATTCCCAGGCAAATGTGTCCTGGGACACTCATACTTTATTGTTCTTAAATAGATTCCCCACTTGTCTTCTTTACAGTTGTCCCTCTGGAATACAGTGGTACCCCTCCAATCTCTAATCTTCCTGCCATAGAAGTCCTGGCATCTCCTACAAGCAAATACTGCATCAATGTTCACAAAATAAATGATCCAATGAACATTTCTTTAGATTTTATGTTTCCCCTTGAAATTTATATGTTAGAATCCTAACTCCAATGAGATGGAATTAACAGGTGAGGACTTGGAAAAGTACTTGTCGTGAGAGTAGAGCCTTTTTTTAAAAATAGGAATTGTACCTGTTGTGGTTTCAACTTGGAATGTTTCCCAAAGTTTCATGTGATAAAGGCTTGGTCTTATGAAGCAGTGTTCAGAGGTGAGGAAGGTGAATGTATCATGGGGGTTCCAAACTCTCTAGTGTGTTCATCTTAAATAGATTCATAATTTGATGGTATTATTGAGAGTCAGTTGCCAATTTTAAGAAGCAGGTGGAAATAGGTCACCAATTTCATGTTCTGCAAGGAGATCTCTTTTCCTGGGACCACTCCACCCCTCCTTTCCCTTTTCCTTTCCTCTCTTCACAGCTGCCATGATTTAAGCATATTTGTTCCAACAAGCCTTTTCACAGAGAGACATTGCCTCTGTATTAGTCCCACAGCCCCCCGGACAAGTGGCCAGGGACTGTATTGACACAGCAATGAATAGTTAACTAACATAATACCCTTTAGAAAATATGAGAGTTTTTCTATCTCCCCATTATCTGATATATGAAGACAGCATGAGAAAGCAGTTATCTACAAACTACAAAGTGACACCAAAAATGCTGGTGCCTTGATCTTATGCTTCTTAATCTCCCAACTATTAGAAATATATTTCTGTTATGTAAACTATCCATGCTATCTAATTTATTAAGTTTTAATTTTCCCTCAATTCTTGAATAAACTTGGTAAATGCAAGTGTATATGTATTGTAAATTTTGCAGAATAATAATGTAAAAATTTAAAGCCTCTAGTATTTAATACTTTTCACTGTATTTCTCTCCATTTTATGAACTCATGATGTTTACTACTGAATTACATAATGTTTCTAATGCAATACTAACTCAATTACCACATCATCCTGTTTCAGATACTATAATAAGTTGGTATGTTTCCCAACATGTTTTTCAATACAGCATAATTGTATTAAACTTAATACACAGTAATAAATGTAGAATCAAAGTGATGATCCACAAACCTGTTATTATAATAAAGTGAAGTTATTTAAGCTGTGTTTAGAAAGGAACATCATTTTTAAATTAATGAGAATACAAGGAAGGAAGAAAAGGATGGAAGAAAGTCCTCAAAGGACTCAGTTAAGCAAAAATTCAAAGGTAATGTATATTCTAGTCAGTCTTGCCAAATTCTAACCTTCCACATCTTGCTAGATTTACAGCCCTATCCAATCAGAAACTAATCTGTCCAGACATTCATAAGAGTATAAGAACCAGAGGGCATGGTGCATGCCTATAATCACAGCACTCAGGAGGCTGAGGCAGGAGTATTGCTGATGTTGAGGCCAGCTGAGCTACATAGTAAGTGCAAGGCCAACTTAAATGACATGCAAGAACCTGTGCAAAAAATATCAGAGGCTACTATACAGGGCCCTGGAACATGCTCATTTCTTGCATATGAAATATCTAGTGCTATGGGTGGGTGGGGCAACCTAGGAAGCCTGGACAGTGCATTGGCCCCTAACAGTAAAGTGCAGCAATATTTCTCTCACTCACTAGCTTGAAATATATCTGTTACCAGAGTCCAGGTATCACTTCATCATGATTTGAAAATAGCTGCCTAATAATTCTCAGGGATGGATGAAAGGACAAGAATGTGGCCATCTTTATGCTCTGAGGTTTGTGATCACCTCAATCCTTTCTCATTCAAATTTTCATTTTTTGTTGTTATTTATGGAGTAAAGGCTCTACAGCAGTAAAATCTGTGAAAGGTATGAGCTGTTAGCCAGCCACGTCATCTACAGAAAACAGTTCAGGGTCTTCATAGAGATGTGTGGTTGAAAAATATCTACAGAAGTCAAATGTGGTTGCATAAACTTGTAATGCCATTATGGGGGAAGCTGAGATAGGAGGATTGCCACAAGTTTAAGGCCTTTCTGGGCTACATAGTGAGTTTAATGCTAACATGGACTACTTAGCAAGACCCTGTCTCAAATACCCAAAGAAAAATAAAGAAGTATTTCAAAAGGAATGGAGCCCAGGAAAGATTCACTGGCCTAAGTATTTTTTCTTTGTTTTGTTTTGGTTTTGGTACTGGGGATTGAACTCAGAACCTTACACTTGCCAAGTAGGCACTTACGATGCTGAGTTATATCCCCAGCCCTTGGCCTATTTTTCTTCACCAGCCAGATTTTAGGTATCCCCTGCTCAGACAGGATTGACTTTCCACAAAGACTGTCAAAGCTTTAGTGATTGTATGAGCCCCTGGTTATTTTGAAAATTGTGTCATAATTTTATTATAATCATTAGCACACACTCATTGTAAAATGAGTTCACCATTAAATTTTAATACCTGTCTGTATCTCTTTTGTATGCTAATCGTGTCCATCCACACACTTTTACATCTTCCTACCACTTTATCTCCCCTTTTCTTGTTTCCTTCCCACACTCTAATAATCCCATTTTACTTCCAGGTCATTATTTTTATTTATTTATTTATTTATTTATTCATTCATTCATTCATTCATTCATTCATTTATTCTTGTACTTTCTACATGTGAGTGAATAGACATAATACTGGTTATTGTCTGGGTGTCTGAATGTTTTCCTTTTTTCATTCAATTTTTCTTTCCTTCTTTCTTTCTTTTGTTCTTTCTTCTGTGGGTCCTTTGTATTCCATTTCCTTCATTTCTTAACCTTCTTTTCTTTTCAATTCTTTTGAGGTACTAGAGTATCAAACACAGTGCTTTTACATTGAGTTACATCACTACCCTTGTTTTATATAGAGGCAAGATCTCTTTAAGATCTTGTTTTCTTTCTGGCTCAGCACTCCAAATTCCTGGTATTAGCTACATGATCCATCACTTTCACATGTCTGGCATATTTTCCTTGACGTGGAATGCTCCAATTCCATCCACTTGGCTGCAAATGACAGGATTTCGTTGTTCTTAACAGCAGAACAGTACTCCATTGTACATATATGTCAATTTCTTATCTATTCATTTGTTGAATGTTACCTATGTTAAACCCATGGCATACTGTGCCAGCCCCACCCCCAAGCACCCTGCCAGCTCCTCTTGGGAGGTTGAACACAGGTGAATCACTATGAGTCCAATCAGTACTACACATGGTCCTAAGGGTCAAACCTGGGTCCCTGGTCTTTTGTTTTGTTTCTTTCTTCCTTTTGGCTGTTAAAGGGTTTCACTGTGCAGCTTGGATTCAATGATCCTCCTGTTTTTCAGCCTCCCCAGCTCTGGAATCAGGGCATACGCTACTACACCCAGACTCTGTGGCCAGCTTCAGGGCCGGTTCAAGATGTAGTTTGGGGCATCAAACTGCGGTCCCTGCAGTTGCCTAAGTGGGTATTTTAGTCCACTGAGCTATCTTGCCCATCCGCAATACTGTTGCTTAATTCTTATTTTGTTCCTACCCTTGGTATTCTTATCAAGCACATTGATTTCCATGTCCAAGATTTGTAAGGACCGGCCAAATAGCAAGGGCCAGCCGAGTAGCTCAGCGGATTAAAGCTCCTGCAAGCAGGCGCAGAGGCCAGGACTTCCACCACCCCACCTGCTGCGCTGCCCCTGCCCCCCGAGGCTCGCTGAAACAGCAATTGAGATTGGGCGTGGTGTTGCCCGCCTGTAATCCTAGTTTTCCAGAAGCTATAAAAAGGCTGCTTGCTACCAGTCAGATCTACGTGGTGAGACCCTGATTTTAGCTATCAAGTATAGCTAAAATACTTAG